TGTGTGTGTGTGTGTGTGTTTGGTTTTTTGTTTTGTTTTGTTTTTTGTTTGTTTGTTTGTTTGTATTGCTTTGAACTTGGAAGTTCCCTTCCTGTAACTTGCTTAGGATGCAGTATGACTGGGTGAAATGTAATTAGCCCCACCAAACTGGTACAAAACCAGCTCTTCCATTCAACCACATGACTGACTTCCATGATAAATTTGATCCAACCCAACTGAAATGCTACTCTGCATTTTATTTTAAATGCTTTATTTGACCAGCTGGTTTTATTTCAATATTGACCAGAAGTGGTACAAGTGCGTTCTTTTTCCATCTAGCATTAATCTTAGTAAACTTAGCTCTATTGGAATGTCTTAACTGCTGAAAAGAAAGCAAAAGTCAGCAAACACACAATTGCATTTGGCTACCCTCAGCACATCATTTTATTTCCTCCTGCTCGATGCTAACTATTCCTCAGCACTTTTGCCTAGGAAGGAGCACGAGCAGGTGGGGAAAGAAGTTGTCCTGTCAGCTGTATCTTTAATCCAAGTCTTTAAATCTCTGAATAAAAGAAAAATCAATGTGGTAAAGGCAATGTTTGTCAAGGCCATGTAATAAATACACTTACCTTTACAGACTGTTCTCGGTGGATTTCCCTTCTTTGCTGGGCTTCAAAGCTACGAAGAGATAAAAATGAAAGACTGAGATGTCTGAGAGTAAAACACCACATGTTTCCTCTCTGTTTCTCAACAGAATTTCCATGTGCTGTGCTATGTGGTGCGAGTTAAAAACACATAGATGAAACTTGTGCCTCACCCCTGCCCGGAAGGCCAACCAGACGCACAGACAGCTATGGTTTTAATGTCTCCCAGTGCTTCATGTGTCAAAATTTCATTTCTACCACAGGCATGAAGAAAATAAAAGCTTAATCTGAATCTGGCTAGAGTGGGGGACATTAAGAAATCATTAGGTGCAGATTCAGTTATTAGTAAAGGCTTCAAAATTGAATTCTGGAATCCTGATGACTTTCCAGAGAGAAGGAAAGAAATCAGACAGCCATGACAAGAAACGCGCGCGCGTGTGTGTGTGTGTGTGTGTGTGTGTTACTAAAGGAGTATGATCTGTGAAAAGGCACACATTCATGTATCTGTACACACACACCTACACTCCCTGTCTCTTGCTATGTGATGATCTGCCAGCCATGGTGTTCTGCCATGAAAACACTATCACCAGATGTAGTCCTTCGACCTCCCACCTTCAAAACCACTATCCAAATAAACCTCTTAGACTTTTACAGCTGCCCCATCTGCTGCAGTGTGTTAATAGCAAAGGGAAAACAGGCTGACATCGTTACAAATCGAAAACAGCAAACAGTTCCTCAGATCTGCATCATGCAAACTTCGCCACATCTATAGCCAAACCATTTGGGCTGTGAACACCTCAGCAGTGAGTGGCGTGTAGACTGTGGGCTTGCATGTCGTATTAAACATCAGGATGCAATCTGACTAAGTCCTTATGTTCTCAGTCTTTTTCCACCACCCACAAGAACGTTTAGTTCTGGAAGACTGTTCAGTCATATAGAGCACATGGGCCGGGAGCTCAACTGAGTGCTGTTGTCCCTAAAAGAGAGGGTGGCAGATGCCTGCACATGCACAATCACCTTTCTGCAGAAAGAATGCAGCCTTCTTTTAGGAGAAACTTGCAAGAGAGCAAAAGCTACAACTGCATATTTCAAATCAAATCTTTGCTTGTTCACTTCCCTACTTACCAAAATATACTATACGTTTGCCACATACTAGTCAATGAGATCTGTGAAAACACCTGCAAAATGACAACCGTTAGGAAATAATGACAACTTAGGGTTTGGGGAAGCTGATTCTACAGTATCCGACATGACTCACACAGTCTATGAATTTACTGTGATTTGACTCTTCGCGTATTCTTGACTAGGTTCTCATTTATCCTAAAGTTGCAATAGTTGAGAAATAGTTATTTTTTATTTTTTTATGTTCAATATTCTAAGTGATGGCTTTAAGTTTTACAGGACTATTTTCCTCCATGTTCCTTAACTCCACCAAAGAATGGGCTATATTCATAGGCAATGCTATAATACTAGAATACTAATGCAGGCCCCTCCATGAAAAAGCATCAAAATTTTCTCATGCTTCTCCTAGTTCCACGGAACACTGCAGGGATGGGAAAAGCATAATTTGGGAAAGAATAAATCAAATTGTATAGCATTTCTTTTTTTGAAATGTGAGAGATTTATGGTCTGAAACCCTTTCCATTTCAAATACATAGAAATGCTAAGCAAAGGAAAGAATTGTAAGTGGCAAAGAGAAAGAGCAACATGAAAAACAATGCATATAAATTTTCTAGAATGAAAGCTATGAGTCCTCGTAAGAAGCACATCAAAATCATACAATAAATACAAGAAAATCCAAACTTAGATGCATCCAGATGAAACTCAAGGACATCAGAGACAGAACAGCAGTCCGAAGTTCAATCAGAAAAAGACACCTGCAGAAGAACATGTTACCCACCCATAAAAATAAAAGCAAGGCAGTGATGGTATAACATGTTCAAAGTGCTAAGAATAAGAAATTCAATACATTTCACCCATGCCAACTCTATCATTCAAAAGTGGTAAAGGAATCAGGACACTGTTCAGACAAATACTGCTGTCTGTCCATGGTAGTTTGCTTTTGCTGGAAAAACAAAGATGTGCTTGAATACATAGAAATCCATCTCAGAAGGAAGATGATGAACGAGAAGCAATGGTGACCAGGGAAAGTCCACTGAACTGAATAATCAATAATGAATATTAACCAAAATTCAGATTGTAAAGAAAGAATAATCAGAATTATTGTAAAGAAAAGGGAAACACCAGTGATGATGTCTTAGTCAGGTTTACTATTGCCGAGATGAAACACCATGACTAAAAACAACTTGGGGAGGAAAGGGTTTATTCAGCTCACACTTCCACATCACTGTTCATCATCAAAGGAAGTCAGGGCAGGAACCTGAGGCAGGAGCTGATGCCCAGGCCATGGAGGGTGCTGCTTACTGGCTTGCTCCCCATGGCTTGCTCACCCTGCTTTCTTAGAGAACCCAGGACCACCTGCCCAGGGATGGCACCACTCACAGTGGGATAGACCCTCCCCATCTATCACTAATTAAGAAAATGCCCCACAGCAGGATCTTATAAGGCATTGTCTCAATTAAGGTTCCCTCCTTTCAGATGACTCTAGCCTGTGTCAAGCTGACATGAAACTGGCCAGCACAGATGATAACAACCAATTCTTAGTGTTTGCAAATAAACGCAGTTGAGAAGTTTACACCAAGAACACGGAACATAGTAAGAGAGCGAAATTTAGAGAGAAGTCAGAGTGTTAACATTACATGTCAGTATTAGATGACCCTATAGAAATTAACTAGCATTTCCTTGTCAACATAACTACTAACTTGTACAGCCATGCTGACAACATCCACACAGAAACAGTCTAAGAACACCATGGATAAAAGCAGCGTGGCAAAACGCAGGAAACAGCCCAAATATCAAAACAGTACAATAAAACGCTTATAGATTCTTCAAATCAAATAATATACAAATTGGAAAAGCTGATGGAACCATCATCAAGATTAACAAGGCTGGTGTGAAAGCAAGTCATAGCAGATCTTCCATAATATTCCATTTGCATGCATTCCAAAAAAGCAAAAAATAAATACCGGGTTGTTTGGAAATACAGCGTAAGTAGAAAGAAAATCTAAAAATGAAAGCAAAGAGATGTCTTTGCTCTTTACTGACTTAGGACACATAAGTCAGAGTCTCTGTCTTGGAGTGGGGGTAGGTATCTAAGGAACAACACAGAGCTTCAGAGTATGGGAGGGTTCTAGTCTGAGGAGAGGCAGTTAGATGATTGTTTTATTATTTTCTTCCATATATTTGGACATTTTCAAAAAATGTACATTTCAAAAGCCATTTGTATATATCACCTGTTTCCCTTTGTCTTGTTTGGGTTTTTTCCAGAGAAGGGGGCCTCATTATGTGCCCCAGAATTGGCCTCCAATTCTCTTCCTTTGCAGTCTCCTGAGGGAGAGGATTAAAGCATGCTAAATGTACAGGCCAGATTCCAAAGGTGAGTGTCCCAAGACAGAGCCAGGCAGAAGTCATACTTTTTAGGACAGAGGATCAAAAGTCACACAGTACTATTGGCACTTCACAAACCTCACCCTGACAAAAACATACACACCTCCAAAGGGAAGGACTGTCCATCACACTGTAAGATCACATGGGCTGTGTACCTGTGTTGGAGCAAGCACACTTGGGGAACACATTGATCCTCAGCATTCAGTAGCAAACCCGCAGTGAATGTTCTCTTCTCAGCACGTGTTAACAAACACCACAACCTGAGTTAATCCTTGAACCTCCACAGAGAAAGGAGACACACAACCAATGTCTGCAGGTCAGCCTCTGACCTCCACAAGCCTGCTGTGATACACATGAACATACAGATATATCCACACATTGCACGTGAACACATAAATAAACAAAAGCTTTTTTAAGAAATGGGTTTTAAGATTACATTCTTAATGGCAGCTTCCCTTTAGGGACTAGTTATGGGAGATTGTCTGAAACAGCTTTAGTCTCCCTTGTAATGTCTTGTGATGAATATGCAAGCTATTATCTGAAAGTATTATGTTCTGTGTGCTTATAATCTCTGACCTTAATCAGATGCTAAGTTATTTAAAACCTATAGCTGTTATTGTTCAAAGCTGCCTGCCTTATGCTTTATAAGCCCCAGATTTTATCACAACATCCATAATCATTCAATAAAATACTTGCTGAATGCACAAACACAAGTGCATCCTATGTATATAACATTTTTAGTGCCTGAAAATTAATGTGTGTGTGTGTGTGTGTGTGTGTGTGTGTGTGTGTGTGTGTGTGTGTGTGTGATCCTAAGTGGGAACAAGTCAGATCCCAAAAGCTCTTATTCATTCCTCTGCCCCAAATACCTATCCCTAGACAGAATTCATGAATCCCACACAATGAGCCTTCTCTTTCTTTGGCCTCCACTTGCTCAGCCAGGCAGACACTCTCCCCCACATCTTCAGAGCTGTTCCACTTCCTGCTCCCCCGAAGCCAAACTCACACACTCAGTTCTAGAGCAGACAGTGTCTACAGCCTTCTGATGACCTCCTGGAAGACAGAAATTAGATTTCAATGAACTCAAACAGGATTGGGCTTCAGCTGCTCCTCGAAGAAGTAAACATGGAACCAAAGCTGAGCAGGCCAAGAAGAGACTGATTAAGCTTGATGTTTTCTCAAAGCTTTCCAAACCCCAAGCCCCTCAAACCAGACCCACTCCCAGATCCCTTACCAACTGATCTGAATTTAAAGAAACAGCCTTCCCAAGTATGCAGACGGTTTAACTGAGGCCTCTCTTCTCACATTGAAAGCTATTTCTAAGAACCATGCAGGTGTGCCTGACATACAGCAAAGCTGCCCGGGACCCAGGCATTTGCTCTGCTGTCACATTCTGCAGGCCTCACCTGACTTAACTGCCATGTTGAGGGATTGGTTATTGACCTTTCAGTCTGTAACAATTATCTACATGGCTAGGGAAGAGGCTGTGCATTCAGGTACAGCGGTGGAGACACTGGATACATTCAG